AGTGTAAGTCTTGAGGTCTGGCCTCACTTCACTGCTGTCAGCCGTGGTCTGGTGTTATTGAAACCCCTCTTTTCTCTTGGAGGGGGAAATAACCACTTACTGGCATGCTCCAGATTTAATTTAGGATTAATGAAGGGAGAAGAAATGCTGATGCTGCTCCCCCCACTTGCACCCCCCAGGATATATGCTCCTGGTGTCTGAATTTCTGTGCTGCTACAGTTAAGGACGTGCTCGGAGGAGTGTGTGCGTCTGTGGAGTGTGTCCCCCTCCTCCCCACCCCTCAGAGGAGCATAACTGGCACTACCAGCTGCTTTATCATTTGGCTTGAGATAAAAATACACTGAACAGAACATCTTCTCTTGACAGAAATACTTGCAGAAGTCATAATCTTTTGAAATACTCTGCTATCTCTTTCTCCATTTAGCCTTTTCCAATGAATATTTTTACAGTCTTTCCCTTTGTCTGGAATTTGTAGCTTAAATTATCTACTAAAAAAAACCAAACCAAAACAAAACAAACAAATTTGTTCTTGGCTTGTTGGCGTGTCCTTTTTTTCCTGCAAGCTGGACCCAAAATTGTACTCATACTTAAAAATAATATTTTTTACTAAAAATTGTCTTTATGAAAGCTCTTGAATATAAGAATGATTGCTGATGGTGATGTACCTTCCAGTGAGGTGAAAGTGTTCTGTTTTAAAAGGTATTGATACTGATCTTTTTTTATTCTTTACTATGTAATGCCTTAGATCTTTCATATAAAACTAATTTTAAAAGTTAATGAAAACTCTGTGACTCAAACCATTTGGAAAAGTTACTGACTTTGTTTTAACCCTGTCAGTTGCAAGGGGAGCTGCAGGGATGTGGAAATTCTGAGCGAGGAATGATTGCAGTAGGTAGGGATAGAAGCAGTAAAGAGAGTCATCTTGTATATTTTATATTTGAGAAGTTAGAGGTGGTCCTGCTAGGACACTGCAAAGATTTAAGGGAGATCCTGTTTGCCAGAGATGATGTGTCAGTCCTGGATACAAAGCCTGTGGCAGTCAGTGGCTGGCTGTTCTACAAGGCAATGGAATTCCTTAACCTGGCCTGTCCTCTGGCTTCCTTATCTATAAGGTTTGAAAATCACATCACAAATGACTGGTGGGATTGGTCATAAATCACTCTGACACCATGGCCCTGGGAACTGTACTTGTCTACCAGAACGCAGTGTTTTGTGATTGAAATTAAAAGCCTGTTGCCTGTGAGATAGTTATTCAGCTGTCTTTGCTTTACAAGTGTGAAGTGGTTCAAGACTATTGCTGGAATTTCCTGATTTGTTCATTTGTGTTGAGCATCACAGACCAAACATGATCTTATGTAGGATTCCAAATTTGTTCCTCCCAGATAACTTTACAAGAGATCCTACATTGAAAAGACTGAGATTTGGTTTTTTAAAAAAATGACAATTTGTGCATTAGCAGGGTGGCAACATTGTTTATAGAACTTCTGTTCTATAAACTATGTGGCAACTTCTTCTGTGGCAACTGGTGTTTATAGAACTTCAGCAGATAAACTTTCCACCTAGTGAAGTATCTGTGTGTAACAGTTTCCCATTTTTAGATGTGGTTTGAAATACTTTTGTTAATATTTTGAATATGGGCTTTTGGAGTGGAGATTGCTTTATGTAACTGGTGCAGGATCAACTGGTTAACAAGTCAAACTATGCTGGATTTATTGGCACAAGGTAACTTTAAGGCATCTGTTTTAGTTTAGGGAGCTTGGGGATTTATATGTGTATAGTTAATGGCAACCAGGCTTGCTTTATCAACCTTGCTTTTATCTGATTGTGGTGATTGTGCATGTTGTAAGGCTAATGGCATAAAGTTTGAAATCCTCTTCCCTGCTGAATGTTCAAACCAGGGTTTTTCCCATCTCTCTGCAAGTGTATTGTTGAACTTGACATCCAGAACCCATCTAGAGTGTCTGCAAAGTGTGTTTCTTGATGTCATGTGCTGTAATTTTTCCTCTGGCCATATCAGAGTGAGTGAAACCTGCTCTTGTGGTTTTTACTGGTGTGATGAAGACCTGGTCCAGGTATTACTAGAAGAAAATAAGAAATGAAAGCATTCTTTTCATTCTGATGGGGAGCAGGGAATCAAAGAAAAGAGAGTTGACAAGGTCTTCATGAGGTAAAAAAGCAGAGACTAGCATTTATGCTACTTTAATTCTCAAAACAGGTTTTGCTTGAAGCTGGTTTGGGGGTGTGGTTCTGCATCTCTTTTCTTCATAAGACTCAAAACAACTAATTCAGGTTGCTTAGGAAGCTGGTGAATCTATTGCTTAACCATAGCAAGACTGTATGCTGGTAGAAACTGCAGCACCTTTGTTAGCCAGTCCTGTATGGTCTCAAAGGTAGTGTTCAGACACAAAGGAACAGATGACTTGTAGTAAGCTCTTTCCTCAGGAATAGTTCTGGGTGTCTCAGTATGACTGTGATTTAGTAAATGAAATATTACAGCAGTTAGAAGAAACTCAAAAAGCAGTTGACACCTGAAAATGAGTAACAAAGTGGAAGGTTGACTCCTTAGGTTGAATGAATGAGTGGTTTTAAGCTTTTTGAAAGGGTGGTGTCACTCTGAATATCACTTTCCTTCTAAACAGCAAGCTCTTTAAGCAACAAGTTGAAGATTGGAAGTGTGCACAATGTAGAGTGAAAAATCAACCAAACCCAACAAACCAACAAAACCAAACAACAACACACCCCAGAACCCCAAACCGTGACAAATCCCAGCTCTTAGCTTTTTGGAAAGCAGAGATACATTTTGGTTTTGAGGAAAAAGTGACTCTCTTTTTCTCCACCCTAAGCATCTATTTTATCTGTCTTCAGTTGAAAGTCTTATGCTGCCAGCCAGTTTAAAGTTTGCAAGGTCTTTTAAGGTCTTGTCAGCACGGGACTTGAAAAGAAATAGCATTTAAATCTGAACCACTTCAGTTAGCAGACTGTGCTAGGTGCTTGTACGTGAACTGAGGTTTTGTTTGGGCTGTTCAGCTAGGATCATTGAATTCTGAGGGGGGGTGACATTGTATAGTGGAACACTTGAAGTTTGTTGCTGATGAAATGCCTGTTGTGAGTGTGGTGCCATATTATCACCTTTGAATTTGCAATCAGTGCCAGATTAAGTAAGCTGATGTCTTGTGGCCCTAATAAAAGTGACCTTGGGCAGTTCTGCAACTAAAGAGCAATGTGTTGCAAAGTTTACTGGTAGACAGGTTAACTCCTGCTGTCCAGTAACATTGTTGAATGTAAGTTTTCAAGAAAGTAACATGTATATAAGTAATTACAGCATTACCATTTAAAATAGAACACTGTTATATGGTCCTTGGCTAATGTCTAACAATATTTTGACTAGACTAATGACTTAAACAATTATGATAATGATTCTAGGTTCAGAATTTGGTAGGATGAGAGAAGACTTTGTGTGTAAGATTTACCTACCATAAATAAAACCCTGGCAGCTTTTGGAGGTTCACAGTATAAAAAACTACAGTCTTCTATAGTGTTTGTTGTTTGTTTTGGGTTTTTTTTTGAGAGCCATCTAGTCTGAAGCAATTGCACAGCTTAACCTGTGGACAGTTCTGGAAAGAGCAACAGTGCAGCAGCTTTTGGTGCTTTTCAAACTAAGGGCTGACTTTCTTCACACGGGAGATACATGGCCCTGCTATCCTTAGTAAAAAGCTTAGCATGGTTCTGAATAGGCAGAGTTTGATAAGGAAGAAATAAATTGTGCTCTCTGTTAACCTCTGTGTGCTTTCTCTTTTAGTGACCATGAAAGGTGTGTGGCTGACAGCATTGCAGACAGCAGCTCAGCTCGTCCACAGAACAGGTGCTGTATACACAACTGCAGTGAAAAAGCCTTTTGTGTAAACTTGGTATGTGGCAATCTTGCCTTCCATGGAGGAAGTGAAAAATGGGTGCTAGCTGGAAGGAGGAAAGAAGAAGCTCGTGCTAATAGATTTAGCTATGATGTGAAGCCAGGTTCTTTCTGCTGCTGGAAAGAGTTCAGGATAGGATTCTTATGGTTGTAAAAAAACTTGGTTAATTTTGTGATAGAGAGATGTGATACCTGAATCTCTCTGTTGCTGGTACATAAGAAGAAGCCATCTTAAAAGCCTGAATGGCTTAGTTATACTCCTGCTTGGTACTGTGGAGCTGACCAGTCACATTACCTGCACACTGGTGCATGTGATAACCTACACAGCTTTTGTGCTGCAGAGTTTTTAATATATTCTTCAAAAATTATACATGTGAAAGCAAGGTATGTTGTGCTGCTAAGCTTGTGATTTAGCATGGGCAGGGTGGCTGAGGAACAGCAGCTGTGGTAACCCTAACTGAATGTCCTAACAGCTGCAGCTTGGCCATGTTGCAAGTGTTAAAGCACAAATCTATTAGTGTGCAATAATGCAGAGCCAAGGGCAGTGGATTTCTGATGTAGCCACAGGAGTGGAGAAGGATCTTGTGATGCATGGCTTCTCCAGAGTGTAGATCACTATGCAAAGGGCTTGAAGGGTTGATGAGGAGGCATTGCTGTAAGGAAGCAAGAATACAGTGATTCCAGGGAGCTATTTGCATTTTATTCAGAACATTGGTCTGTAGCTGACTGACCTGGAGAGCAAATTAAAAAAATTCCTGAACAGAGTGCTCTGGCAGTCATAGGTAGCTGAGGTCTTCTGCAAGGCAAGTTAAAGTCTTTTTTTAAAAAATGAAGAAAACTCTGCTCATAACTCATTGACTTCTTTGGAAACTTCTCCCTTTTATTGTAGATGTGTAAACTCTAGCAATCCTTTCAGTGTTAAGTGGGCAATACTGCAGAAAAGAAACAGGGAAGTGATGAGAGATTTAAGATGGAAGGGGAAAAGGAAAGTTCATTCATCTGCTCACTCTTCTCTCCCAGTCTGGTAGAGAGGCACCAATGAGGAACTTCCTGAAATTTTAACCTCCACATTCATGTCAGTACGTGCATCATGGCACAGCAAGGGAATGTTGGTGAGCTCCTCTCAATGCTGGATTCTCCAGTTCTGGGTGTCCTGGAAGATATAACAGCTGCATTCAAAGATAATCTCATTTGTGGTATGTATCCTTTTCCATCATTTGAGGAAGGGTTTTGCTTCTGCACTGGTGAAGGTAGAATAATGGTGGGTTTTTCTATCAAACAATCTTTGCAAATGCAACTTGAAAAACTCTTGATATTTGAGATTGAAATTGCTTTAGGGATTGAAGCTACTCTTCAGCCCATTTTGCTTAATGGCATGCTTTGGAAGGTCAGTTACATAATTGTTAAAATGTTATAAAATGACTCCTTGTCCTGGGGCATGACCTCAAGTTGTGAGCTGAGGAAACTTTCTTTGTGGAGTCTATCTAGAGAGAATTAGGTGTTGTCCACACTGTGGGGAGTAGTGGGATTTTGTTAATTCAAAAAATAAACATTTTGTTGTTTGGGGTTGAGACCCCAAACAAAACAACAGACCCAGCCTTTCTTGAAATAAATAACTGCTGCTCTTGAGGCATCCCTTATGCTGATAGAGCCTTTTGAGATGATGAGAACACTGTCAGTGTCCTTGTCCCTGAGATTGCTGTCCTTTGTCTGCTGAAGGGAGAGAATATAAAGTCACTACTGAACTCTCTACCTGTACTGGGTAAAATACTCCTGCAGTTCAGCTATCTGTAGGGTATTTTAAGGTTGGACAGTAATTGTTATTTAAAAAACCAGTTACTTTCCCTGAGCCAAATGCAATTGCTTGAATGATTAGGAACTAGAAGATGTAATTGAGAGGTCTGGTTTTTTTTTCCTAAAGGTCTGGTAAACACCAAGTACTGGTTGATGTTATAAATTGCATAACATTTTGACAACTATTACACAATGTCCCTGTGACAAATGCTGGATTTTTAGTGTATTGAGACTGAATCTTTTCTTTCTTGCTGTAAACAAACTGATAGACCGTGGGCCTATGCTTGTGAACAACCTGGTGGACTATTACTTGGAAACCAATTCTCAGCAGGCACTGCATATTCTGTCCACACTGCAAGAGCCACATGACAAGGTAAAAAAAATCTTGTTAACTATGGCAGATTTTAGCCTGCTACTGAAGCAGCCTTTAAATAGCCTCTGTTAGAACTCAGGTTTTCCATTCTGGTATAGAATTACCTTGTTCTACAGATGTAGTATCTCTGTAGTAAGAGTAGCTAAGCTTTAAAAAAGCTTCAAAGATCTGTTTCTAGAGTTGCTTAAACTGACCCAATTAAGCAAAGAGCCTCTATAAATGAAAGTTTTCTGAGGACTAATGTTATCTCTTTGCAGTGCTGCTGCTTGTTCAATGCTGGATGTGTTAGCCTAAACCAAATTGGGTATTTTGAGAGCACCTAAGGCTTTTTAAATAGGGTATGACTCTAGAAATCACTTTACTTCTGCTGACCAGACTTAAAAAATTATTTATGATAAATGTTTTGAAATGCAGTGACTGCTTCTGGGCTGTATTTTTTTGCTACCACCAGGCTTAAATTTCTTTCTGGGTTTTATTTGCTCTTAGATTCTGTGTATTTGTAAAACCTCTGTGGTTTGTGTAATTGGCGATGGCAAACTGCTGAATATAGATTGGTGAAAAAGAATGTATACCAGTTAAATAGAAATACCTTTCTTTTTTCTACCACTCTGCAAAATCCTCTATCAGCATCTACTGGACAAAATTAATGAATATATGGGCAAAGCTGCTACCCGTTTACCCACTCTCTCCCTGCTGGGACACGTGATAAGACGACAACCATCTTGGAAACATAAGCTTTCTCAAGCACCTCTCCTACTTTCATTACTTAAATGTCTCAAGGTAATAACTGTCAGTGTTGTCCATAAACCATTTGTACACCTAATGTAACCATATTTGTGATGTAAGGCGTTTGCTTTCTGTTTTGAAGTCATTTAGTTAAGCTGTGAGAAGAGAGATAAGATGTTGATTAAAATACTGAGCCACGGTGGAATTACATCAGCTAAATATTCTGTGTTGATCCTGTTATTGCTGGCAATGTTGTTTGTAAAAGCCACTGTCACTGTGTAACTTTGAGTTAGGAAAGTTTACTGAAATTTTGCCAAAATTGAGTTAAAGGCAGAGGGCCATTGGTGACGTTGGTGGGTGTCTTGAATGTGAACTTCAGGGGAATTACAATAACTTCCCTTCAGTGTGTTCTGAAATCTCTGCACATAGCTAACAGACTCTGCTCACAGTGCAGATGGGCCATGCCATAGACTGTTCCATGCTGAACCTATCCTGGAGCTAGCAGACTTTCCCTTCTTAGCTCCAGATGTGATGGCTTACAAGGAGGTAGCTGTTTCCTCATGCTTTGGTTTTTTTTTCCCCATCTGCAAATATATCAATTCTAATACTGTATAGAGTGTTGTAGCAGTTAATAAAGATTAGAAAGTGTTTTGAGACCTAGAATGCATTGTGGCTAGTATCATTTAATGTGATAGTGAAGAATTTGGAATGGTTATTTAAGTCACCTTAAAATGGATGATGTAGTCAGGTGCCAGTGCTTTTCCAAACAAAACCACATCAATTTGTAACTGCCACAGAAGAAGCTACAGGTGCTGTTACTGGAACTCCTGGTGTGCCTGACAAGTTGTGTTATCCTTTTTGGTGTGAGTCTTTTCTGCTTGTAAGGTGAATGAAGTGTGTCAGAAAGATGGTGGGAGTTGAATGGAGATGTGGAAGTGCCAGGGATGTGTACAGAGGGATAGCATGGACCTGAAATGTGCTGTGGAAGATGATACCTGACTGAGAGAGAATAGAGGCCACAACTTACACAGAGGAATTAAAATCCTGAGGAACTACTGAGGAGAATGTGCATGAAGCTGGGGAAGCAAGTAGAGACCCCAGTGGGAGAGAGTGTGAACGTTTTCTGTATCCTGTCCTAAAATCTGATTCTCTATTACTGTTTGATCTAGCTAAAGATTTTTACTGCCACATGCCTTTCTCTTGGTGTAAACCATGGGGTTCTAGTTACTGTTTGAATTACTGCTTTATGAAATATTTAGCAGCAAGAGTCATCAACCAAGTTTAACAGAAAAGCTTTTGGCGCTTGCGTTGGTGATTGGCCCACATCCTTGAATAGCCTGATCAGATTTGCAGTTTCTTAAGCTTTGAAGCTGTATGTTCTTAGCTGTGGGAAAGGAGGAAGGCAGTACATGAGATGCTTCACGTATCAGTAGGTTTTTTTTCTGCTCAGTTGTGGAACTGTGGTGATGTTCCCTTTTTAACTAAGTCAAGTCTTTATACAGAAAAGCAGCAGCAGAATAGGAGCGAGAATCCCACATCTTTGTTTTTTAGAGTTGTTCTGGATTAAAGAGGCAATAATCTTGGCTCACTAAGTTCTGGTAGCTTTCAGAGGGACTGTTACAAAGTAGAGAACTTTTTCCATGGTGATGATTCACTTCATCCTTGGAAAAAATGAAGTTCAACACTTCTGACTGACTAATGCAGGTTTTTTCCCTTCTTGCAGACTGACACAGATGTAGTAGTACTCACCACAGGTGTCCTAGTGCTAATAACCATGTTGCCAATGATTCCTCAGTCTGGCAAACAGTACCTTCATGATTTCTTTGGTATCTTTGGGCGTCTCTCAGCCTGGTGCTTGCAGAATCCAGGTGAGATTTCAACTTTGTTGCATGCAGTTATGGTTCAGTAGTATCCTTTTGACTCTTATGCAGTTGGTGAGCACATTCTTTTGTGAGACTCATAATGGTCTGAGAACATTTAAATGCAGAAAATGATGTATGAAGCCCACAAGCTATTCTGTTCTTTGATAGTTAGCATCAGGGAGGGCTTTGCTCAAAATGTAGAAGTGTCTTAGATTCTTGTGTGTGGTGCTGCTACAACATGAAGTTTCACTGGACCTAAATTCTATCCTGGTGATGGTGAAGAGCAGAGATTGATCTTAATGGACAGAGAAGGGAAAATGCTAACATTTGAGGCAGACATTTGGGAATTTGAGATTCTCACCTATGGATGGGGAGGGGGAAGAAGCCACGTGTAAGAGTTCCTTTTCATGTGCAACTATCAATAGTCATGAAGGTGTTGGTAAAACTAGTCTTCTCAGTTACAGCATTGGCTCTGATGAATTGGTTTTGCTGCATTTGTTGTAAGGTGTCTGATATCTAACACTGGCATTATCCATGTATGTGTCTCATGGCTGTATGAACAAATGCTGTGTTAAGCACATGGAGATGCTATTTAGAGGCTCATCTTGCCTCACAGGTAGGATTGGAACTTATAGTATGGCTAGTAAGACTCAAGTCTGTTGTGATTGCTTTTTGTGGCCACAAGCTTTTAATTTTTACCTTTGAAGTGAAACAAACCTTTTTATAATCATGTAGTCAGTCTTGCAAACTCTAGCTCACTATAGGGGTTTCAGGTTTTAACTTGAAATTTAAAAATGCTGCACTTTGAAAATGACAGAATACTGGTTGGAATTAATGGTCTATATCTTAATTTTTGGTTGTTTTTTTTTTTGCTGTGAGCTGATGAGTAGGTGTTGCCTGTTCTTTCAGAAGACTTCACAGTTTCTCTAGGGACTATTTGTATCTCAGAAGACTTGTTCCAGTTAACATTTCAAATTTACAAGTACTTTGCATGCATTCTTAGAAGTTTTGTTCTTTTCTCCAATGTAATGAAAAAGATTCCAACTGCTTTTTCCAGGTCATGTGGCAGAGATTTATCTTGTCCACCTTCATGCCAGCGTTTATGCTCTCTTTCATCGTCTCTATGGAATGTATCCTTGCAATTTTGTCTCCTTTCTGCGTTCTCACTACAGTATGAAGGAAAACTTGGAGACCTTTGAAGAGGTAGTCAAGGTAAAATGCTGCTTATCTCTATATTACCCGAGACAAGGCATTCATAGCTGTGTAAAGGCAGGTGTTTGCCAGTTTAATACACTACATTGATTAAACTGAGGGCTGCTCAACAAAACAGAATTAAAAACTGGCTATTGGAGGACTGAAATTGCAGTTGGGAGTAAGATCATCACGTGAGGCTGTGATCATGTGTTAGCTTTATCTGCTCAATGTAATAATGTTCTGAACTGTTAGGATCAGTAGGCTGCTCGTTAGCTTTGTGTAGCTTAGTGCAATCCAAAGATGCTGTACAGATAATACATCCTTCTTCTTGCTCATCCAGCCAATGATGGAGCATGTGCGAATTCATCCAGAATTAGTGACTGGATCTAAGGACCATGAACTGGACCCACGAAGGTATATATGTTCACTCTGCTATGAGGAGAGGCTATAAATGAGGAGCTTTTAGCTGGGTTATTTCTGGAGGCTTACAGCAAAACCTCTTCTGTCAGCAACCGTGTGTGCCAGTGGTGGTTTGCCACCCTTATTCATAGGTGCACCAGGTAAACATGTTGACTTTCTTCATCCATGCTTACAGCTGGATGAATAAGCAAAAACTCTTGTGAAAGGCCATTAACAGCAATGTTTGAGTTCTAGATTCATTTTGCATCTGGGATAGAATCTGTCTTCTGGTTAAGTTGACTTTGTCTTACTTTTATGACTTAAGCAATCAAACATTCTTGAAGTTATAAAAGAGTTTGCTTATAAGGAATAAAGAGAAACTATCACTGACCTTCTTTGCTAGCTTAAGGTTTGGGTCGTATTATTTTGGTTTGTTGAAGTACTTGGTGGGATTTAAGTGTTTAAAATGGCTTCAGTGTGTCTTGTTTTGGTATCTAGATATTGGTTCAGTTAACAGATCAATTCTTTTAACAGGTATGTCTTAACATTATCAGCTGTATTAGTTTTCTTTAGAAATAGGCTCATTTGCCTGCAGCAGCACCACTTGCTGCTTTTCTCTTGTCTCCACAGGCCCAGCCACTGAAGAGGAGAATTTGACTCTTGTTGCTGCCCAGTAGTGCTCTTGCCCTGCTTTTCAGAGCCACTAGGAAAACACTACTAAATGGGAACCTATTGAATGTCACAATGCTCAGTTTTGCAGGCTTCTCCCAGACAGGGGGGAGGGTGGCACCACTAAGGAGTACAATTGGCACAAAACTACCTGTTGAAGGCTTCTGATTTGGTATATTGCACATAATATCTTACATCCAAAAGCAACTCAGCCTTTAATAGACAGCCTTTGGTGCTTTCTCTTCTTTACAGTCAACTTCCATCCCCTAAAGCATTGGGCAGATCTAGTCTGGCTGCTTAATTTAGTGACAAAGTTTTCAGAATGAAAGAGGCAGTAATAATAAAAAACATTCTCAAAACTTGGGAGGAAAAACACAGACCTGAAACTGGCATTGCAGATGCTGTTTGCTAATAATATAAGATTGCCTCACTGCTGGCATGTCTAAATTTTGACTACCAACATCTGAGTCTAGTTGAGCTGATTTCTACAGCTGCTGAAGCTCAGGATCAACCAAGTCTTCGTATGCTGTTGCTCCTTTCCAGAGTGCTCCATGGCAGACCGTTGTGGATCTCTGTGTCAAAGCTGTTTGTCTCCTCTTTGAGATCCCCTCTTACAAGTCATCTGGTTGCAATTTCTGTGTGATGCCTTGTTCCAGTTTTGGCTGGGAGCACGCAAAGCTGTCTGGAACAAATGAGCCATCCTACAAGCCAATTCCTCATATCTCCAGGAACTCCTGTTTGTAACAGTAATTGACTAACTTACTCTTTTGGATCCAAAAACTGTCTGCAGGTGGAAAAGACTAGAAACTCATGATGTTGTGATAGAATGTGCCAAAATCTCCCTGGACCCTGCAGAAGCCTCCTATGAAGATGGCTATTACTCTGTGTCTCGGAAACTCTGCACAAGCTTAAAACATCATCAAACTGACCCCAGTGCCAGCTATTACTCTGACACACAGAGCAGCTATGGTAAGACCTGCCTGATGGCTAATGAATACCCAGTTCCTGGAGGAAAACCTGCCCTATAGCAAAAAGACATCTTACTAATTTATCCCACTTAAAGTCCCATTCTTAGTCACCAGCAAATAAACTGTAATTTAAAAACAAGTAACCCAAACAACAGATACATACCTTGGTCATGCAGACATACAGTGTGTTCACAACGTTGCCTTTCCACTGCCTGTTCCTCCCATGTCCCTTGGCACAAAAACACAATGAACCAACCAAAAAAGAAAGCTATAGTATGTAATCTATTCAATAGATATTTTCTTGGGCTGGAAGAGTCTTGTTTGATAGCTACACGTGTGTGTGTTAAATGGATTTGAAATGTTTCAGTTAAAAGTCTTTAACTACTAACCCAAAGAATCATTGATTTGTATTTGATGTGTTGGATACTTTTAATGTTTTTATTCTTTTAACTTTCAGGGACTTCTACCCCATATTCCACTCCTCGGCTAACACTATCACAAATGTCAGGGCAGCTACCTCAGATCCTGAGCCCACAGTCCATACGGCTGTCAACTGAGCCACAGCAGGTAAAGCAGGAGATAAAGCACAGCATGCTTTAAATGCTTTGCACTTTGTTCATGGTTTCTTGTGTCAGTCTTAAAAATTCCTGTTTCTGAGGAGTGCTGCAAATTCTTCAGATCCTAGTGTACATTTCACATTCAATCCCCATCTGGTTTCCAGTGTCAGAACCTGGTTACAGGTACTTTGCATGTTCCTTTTCTGAGCTGCACTGATTTGTTTGTTGTATGTTGTTTTTACACAGGTTACCATCTGGAGTCCTTCTGCAGTTTGTGGTATGACCACTCCACCAACCTCCCCTGGAATTGTCTCATCAGAGTCATCCCAGTCTGCATCACAACCTTACAGCAAAGCTTTTGGCACATCTGGTACGTGCTGAATTTTGGAATGAGGCCTTCAAAGTGTATTAGAATAGAAATTCTGGCTGTAAATTTTGCTTTTCAAATGGGAATGCCACCCCATGCCATTGGATAGGCTGAAGTCATTACTTCTGTGAACTGAGTACCTGGTCATCCAGAGCAGAGCTAATGCAAACACTGACACAGGAAATAAGTTTTGGAAGCTGTGCACTTGTATCTTGATAAAGAGTTGGAAAAGGTTTTAGAAATTCTGGCTGTAAATTTTGCTTTTCAAATGGGAAGCCCACCCCATGCCATTGGATAGGCTGAAGTCATTACTTCTGTGAACTGAGTACCTGGTCATCCAGAGCAGAGCTAATGCAAACACTGTCACAGGAAATAAGTCACAGTGAATTCAGTGCCAAAGTCTGAAGTGGCCATTTTGGAAGCTGTGCACATGTATCTTGATAAAGAGTTGAATTAAAAATTCCTGTTTCTGAGGAGTGCTGCAAATTCTTCAGATCCTAGTGTACATTTCACATTCAATCCCCATCTGGTTTCCAGTGTCAGAACCTGGTTACAGGTACTTTGCATGTTCCTTTTCTGAGCTGCACTGATTTGTTTGTTGTATGTTGTTTTTACACAGGTTACCATCTGGAGTCCTTCTGCAGTTTGTGGTATGACCACTCCACCAACCTCCCCTGGAATTGTCTCATCAGAGTCATCCCAGTCTGCATCACAACCTTACAGCAAAGCTTTTGGCACATCTGGTACGTGCTGAATTTTGGAATGAGGCCTTCAAAGTGTATTAGAATAGAAATTCTGGCTGTAAATTTTGCTTTTCAAATGGGAATGCCACCCCATGCCATTGGATAGGCTGAAGTCATTACTTCTGTGAACTGAGTACCTGGTCATCCAGAGCAGAGCTAATGCAAACACTGACACAGGAAATAAGTTTTGGAAGCTGTGCACTTGTATCTTGATAAAGAGTTGGAAAAGGTTTAAGAAGTAAATGGCTGAGATAGTGTTTAAACATACAGTTCTTCACATACAATGTTCGGCTGAAAGGAGGAAATGGGAGCCTGCTGAGAAAATTTTTGCCCCTCCTTTTCAGCAGGGGGGAAAGGAACACCTTTGGGAACGCCAGCCACATCTCCTCCACCCTGCACTTCAGATGACTTTGTGCATGTTTCACTCCCTTCAGCTGCTGCCACGCCTCCTAAAAAGGTATAACAGAATTCTTCTGCCAAACAAATCTGATTTTTTTTCATTGACTTGCCATACCTACAGGGACCATAACTGAGAAAGAAAAATCAGAGTAACTGATCTACAAAATATGTAGCATTTCACTGCAAAAACTCGTTTTCTTCTAAGTTTAGACAACTATTGTCACTTTAAGTTGCACAGTTTTAAGATTTGTTATGTTGGTTTGCTATTGAAGCCTTCTGTTTGCAGGAATGTCTTTTCTGTGAAACCATCCAAGAGGTTTGTTTCCAACAGGCGTCTGATGCAAAGTATCTAGTTTGGGTTTGGTTTGGTTTTGTTTTTCAGGAGGACAAACCAGATCCTGTGAGGCCTTTACTGTACCGACAGCAAAATGTCATCAACAGCGATAAATCACTGGGTAAACCCTTGTTTTCCTCTCCCCATTACAATAACCAACTGTAAACAAATCCTGGTGTTATTGGCACACATTCCAATTGCCAAACACCTTTCCACAGGTTTTTGTCTTTTTTTTTTTTATTCTCCTGGGTTCTTTGTAGTTCCAGGATCCTGCCTTAATCTGTGATTCGACTTAAAACCTCCTTGTGATGCTTTTCATTTCATTTTAACTATTCATCTTCAGAAATAGCTTGCAGAATTTTTAACTGGCCATCATGCAGGCTTATGCATGTTTAAATAAACAGATCTACACTGAAAACTGAAAAAGATAATTTTTTTTAAAAAAAAACCTGATTCCAAGAACGTGATTTGTATTAAAAGCAGTAAGTTGTATAAAGAAGTCTTACATGAAAAAGTTCTGTGTCACATGCCTGGATCAAATTGTAAGGCTGCACATAAGGATAGATATGATGCTCCCTTTTAAAGGCTCTTGGAAAAACTTTTTCTATCTACAATTATATTGCTGTACTTGAACCTTTTTTTAAAGTCCTGTGGAGTATTGAAATCAACAGTGGATGTTTGAGGAACTCAGCTTCTAATAGGTAAATTGAGATCCCATTTTCCATTCTGTCATCTACATCTGTAGAAAGGGATTTGGGCACCGTATTTGAAACTTGTTTACAGTGAATCTTTACCATCCTCAAAGTGGAGATGATGGTGAAATCTAAAGCTAGTTTTCCTTGGTGAAGTTGTGTAGCAACGCTGGAATCTGAACTTCCTGATTTACAAGTAAAGAACAGGCTGGGTTTTCACTGCGTTCCTAATCTGTGACAGAGCTGGGAGTGTGAGATTTCTGTCCTCATGCTTTAGTGTTATCTCCCTGGCAACAGTCTCAGTTTTGATCAGTAGCCACATACTGTCAAGTTTGTATTACGTCAGCTCACTAAACTTCCTTTTTTCAGGTAAGGGCTGTGTCCTTGTGTAGCCAGACCACAAGCTAAAGGGAGTTTAAGGTAGAAGTATAATAGTCACACTACGCTTAAGACACTTTTAAAATTTTGTTTATTTAATGGGTTAATTTGCAAACAGCACATCCTTATTCATAGAGGCAGTTGCCTACACTTGTTGTGCAACAGCAAATGTTAAGTTTACAAAATTACAGTTCAGGATCAGGACCGACCAGTGACTGATCTCTGAACTGGTTTCCCCATGGGATGGAACAAGAGTTGGGCAACTTCCTCCTTTGAGGAAGCATCTGAAGGAGGGACAGACTTATTCTGAGGACCCTACAGCAGTAAAAGACTTTTCTGTTTTATCCTATGATAAGGCTGGAGAAAACAGCATCTGTGCCACTAACTTCTTCTTTTTCTTTTCAGACACACCTGGTAATAAAAGTTCAGTAACCTTAAGTGATCTTCCAGAGTTTTTAGGTGGGTTGTCTTTTGAAGATAGTGCTGAGAAGGACAGAGAGGAAGGTAATTTCTGTCATCCTTACATCTTAGCTAAGGAAATGTTTGTAATCTTGAAACACAAGATATGTAATTATGCTCCCCCCTCCCATCCTTCTCAGATGCAATATCTAAAGAGATCTCCGAGATCACAACCGATGCTGAACACATGGTGCCTAGAGGAGGATTTGACTCTCCGTTTTACCGCACAAATGAAAGTCTGTCAGGCTCTCAGAAGAAGACCCATTCAGCAGTCTCCAGTGTTCAGGGACACAGTCAGACCTCTGAGCCTTTAACATCTTCTGTGGACAAGCCTGGGCCTGAGAGCGCGCGGGAAACACCCAGACAAACATTTACTCCTATAGACAAGCCCTGCGGAGGTTCTGGTGAAAGCCCTGCTAGTAACAGGGAAGGAACCTCTGGGGAGACGAGTATTCTCACTCCCAGCCCTTGCAAAGTACCAGCACAAAGAAGAGTGGTGTTTGGGAGTGGGCAGCCTCCCCTCTACGAGCACCTTTTTGAGGTCGCGTTACCAAAGACTGCCTACCTCTTTGTTGGCAAGAAGACTGAGGAGCTGCTAAAGAAAGCCAAGGGAGCCCAGGATGACGACTGCATGTCCTCTACTTCTCCTGTGGAAGTTCTGGACAGACTGATACAGCAAGGAGCAGATGCACACACTAAGGAGCTGAACAAGTAGGTGACTGAAAAGCTTGCTTTGCAAACTTTCTTGTTACTCCTTTTAGTGCTGACTTCACTCTAACAGCTGTGCCTGAAAAGCAGCCGTGTCTGGAAATCTACAGTGAAGCCATGTGAAACATCACTGTTAACTGAGCCAGAGGCTCTGAGGGGAGGATATGTCCTCTACTTCTCCTGTGGAAGTTCTGGACAGACTGATACAGCAAGGAGCAGATGCACACACTAAGGAGCTGAACAAGTAGGTGACTGAAAAGCTTGCTTTGCAAACTTTCTTGTTACTCCTTTTAGTGCTGACTTCACTCTAACAGCTGTGCCTGAAAAGCAGCCGTGTCTGGAAATCTACAGTGAAGCCATGTTCTGTGAAACATCACTGTTAACTGAGCTAGAGACTCTGGGGGGAGGATTTTTGTGTTTGCAGTGGTAATGTGTTTGCTTTGATGTCAAAAAAGAAAAGGTGGGGTGGGAGGCCTGTGACCATGGTACTCCTACTGCCTTTGGTGCCAGAGCTGGGATGAAGCAGGAGGGCTGTGGGCCATGCTGCATATGTGGGTTTGGTCCTGCTGGTAGTGGGATTTGTTTACTTTATCAGGCTTAAGTTCAACACCAAATACTCCAAAACAAAGGTAGAGGCCAAGGGGAGATTGACACTTTCCTCTTTCTAATAGACGTGAAGCTAAGAGCTGGAGAACCAGATTTAAGTTTTAGGTGTACCTACTCTAGTCCTTCTTCTCATCTTACTAGCCTGCATTCCACTTTGTCCTTACACTGTTTTTTATGCCTGAGAGACTTTCTACAACTTATGAAAAAGGATGCCCTTCATCCTCTGCCCTTGCAGCCTGCTGCCTCCATGGTTCCTCCTTATTCTTTTCATACCAACTGACCATAATTGTACTTTTATTAGGCTGTAAGCTCTTTTGAGGTGGGCATTCCTTCTCAAAGTAACTTGCAGAGTGTTTGCATATTTAAACTTGCTATTTAATGCTGCATTTTCATTTTTCAGATTGTCTCTGCCAAGCAAATCTGCTGACTGGACTCACTTTGGAGGTGAGGAAGTTTCTCATGTGTTTTGGCAATCTGTTCCCCTATTATTAGACTTGTTTAAAAGAATGACCTGCTTACCTTTTTTTTTTAACTAATGCTGCAGAAGGATGGTGCCCTCCATTAAGTCATGGTTTATCTACTTAGCAGAGTCTGGGGAAAATGTTTAAAATGTGAAGTTTGTTTTGGAGATGAAATAGAGCAGACAGATACCGAAGTGGTAATTTCAAAGAAATCTAATTTGCTTATTTTAGAAAATATTTCTCCTGTGTGGAACATCAACAGTACAGCTGAGTAACCTCTTGTGTCTTCTAACTCCAACACAGGGTCTCCCCCTTCGGATGAGATTCACACCCTGCGTAACCAGCTGCTTCTGCTGCACAACCAGCTGCTGTACGAGCGCTTCAAAAGGCAGCAACACGCGCTGCGGAACCGCCGGCTCCTGCGGAAGGTGATTAAAGCAACGGCCCTGGAGGAGCACAATGCTGCCATGGTGAGCAGGGAGACACTCCAGTGCTAGAACAAGCATTAAGTGGTTTGGCCAGTATCTTTCAGTACTGCTCAAATGAATAAAGAAGCCCCATTTCTCACCTTATTAAGGTGTTTGTGGAATGGCTTGTGGGCGAGTTACGTGTGCTGTGATTATTAAAACCAGTAGTTTCTACTTGACTGTAGGCAACTGAATCAGCAGCTGTCTGCGTGCTTGACCCCTGCCAGCACTTACCTTTGGATAATGTTAAAGGCTTCAGAGTTAGTGGAGTGCTTACCTAATGCCTAGCTAACCACCTTATTGCATTATTCAGAGTAGTGTCCTTTCACTCCTAGATTGAGCAGTGATAGCAAGAGCTTTGAAAATGCACTGTTCTTTACAAGAGGTATTTACGATGATAATTTGTAGTTGTAAGTGCATTGAAGGATGTCTCATTACAGATTTAGGCATGTTTCATTCTGTATCTCCATATTACAGCTATTTCCATCAACAGTTTCACCTTTTGATAATTCAGTAGAATAGTGAAAAATAGACTTCCACATAGGTTTTGGAAAATGAACTGATGCTTCAGCTGGGAAGCCCAAGTCCTGTCGAAAGCGTGAGGTGCAGTGGAAGAATCTGCTGTTGCTCATTGTGCCTTTGGATGTGACTTCAAGTTTTCAGCCTGTCCACTCTTACCAACATCTAATCTCTTTTTCAGCCAAAAAACAAACCCCAAAAACCTTAAGAACGTGCTGTATATCTAATATTCTATCTATGGAAAAGTGTTATGCCTGCATGCTATTAATTGATAGCTTTGCTTAGCTCGTGACTTGGGACAGATGTTGTGCCTGAGAAAGTAGGTGACTTGTCTGATGCTTCATATGTGATTCTTAACAGAAAGATCAGCTGAAACTTCAGGAAAAAGAAATCCAGGCCTTGAAACTGAGTCTGCAGAAAGAACAGGCGAGGTACCACCAGTTTCAGGAGGAACATGAAAATATAGTGGCTCAGCTTCACAGCCAGATCAGACAGCTGCAACATGACCGGGAGGAATTCTACAACCAGAGCCAGGAATTGCAGGTATGAAGCATGGTACTGAATAAAATTGTGCTGTCTACTTACTGGTTTTAAAAATAACCTTCTTAATAACATGACATGAAATATATGAGAGAAAGTTATGTATCTCTTTTAGAGGAGTTGTCCTAATTCAGAATAAGACAGTGCATATCTGGAAATGCCTTCTGTAGTTCTGTTTTGCCCTGTCTTCAGTTTGAAAATGGGAAAATGTGGTTTCTTAGATGGTTTTGGGGCTTTCACAAACACTCAGTGTAACTTGATTTACAGTGGTAGGGGTTACAGCCCTCCAGCCACGTGCTGTTGAAGGCCTTTATTGAAAGTTTGACAACCCTAAGTGAGATTTTTTTTTTTTTTCCTTTCAACAGACCAAGCTGGAAGACTGCCGGAATATGATTGCAGATCTGAGGTTAGAATTAAAGAAGGCTAACAACAAAGTGTGTCACACCGAGTTGCTTCTAAGCCAGGTTTCCCAAAAGGTAAGAAAAGTCAATGTTCCCAGTGTCCCTCTGCATCTTTCTGTTTATTTTTTTTCTGATAATTTCTATCAGGTGCTTTATTTTGCTTTGTTCTGAAAGAAGCCTGTGCTTAGTTCCATATAATCTGATAGTAACTGCACAAAAACAACACCAAAATATGTATTTTGGTGAAGAAACTTTAAACTTGGTTTGAAGGCTTCTAGAACTTCTCACTTTGGCTGCTTTTTCCACAGTAGGAATTTGCAGATTGAGCAATAGGTACTCCTATTGAAGCTTTGCTACACCTTGGCATCTTAGGGAACTCGTTTATATCAGAATTTGCATGGACTTCACATGTAAGTGTGAACATGGTTACATTAGGAGTGCCTCCATGGTGAAGTTCTGCATGGACTGTCACCCACTTCATGAAAGTTAATTTATTTAACACTTACTACCTATAACACATTGGATTTTTGACTTTGTCCCCTCATTTATAAAAATACCCTGTGAACACAGCAGCAGCTATGATTCTCCTGCTGTGAACTATTAGTTCCAATGTTTAATTCTGTTCCATTTCTCTTTAAAGCTTTCCAACAGTGAATCAGTGCAACAGCAGATGGAGTTCTTGAACAGGCAGCTTCTGGTTCTTGGAGAGGTCAATGAGTTGTACCTGGAGCAGCTGCAGCACAAGCACACAGACACTACAAAGGTATGGCTGCAGGGGAAGCTGTTTGGGAAGACATTGCTTGAGGTCGTCATCAAGCTGTTTGCAGCCTTGTGTTCATAATCAAGGAAATGTTTCATAGCTTAACAGATACTTGGTTTGGAAATTGATTTTCAGGGATCGGGTTTAATATTTAATCTTCTGTTCAGATGTTTTTGTGTCATATGGAATCCCTGCAGTGCCCTGTGCTTGGAAGCTAAGAAGGGGATATTAGGGTACACCTGAAGTCAGTATTAGCCACGTGATGTAAATTCTTAGCAGTTTTTCCTTGCTGAAGGCCAAGACTTTACTGTGCTCTTAAATAACTGGCAGCAGACTATTGCTGGTGAAGTAGCATTAGGCTCTTGTGTTTGCAAAAGAGTGTAATGTAGGGTGGTAGTGTTAGAACTTGTAGAAAGATCTTACCCAGGGTATTACTGGGTTTCTGTGATGTGCTGCTTTAAAACAAGCAGTCTTACTCTTCTCTCTCAGTCCATTTTCCTGTTAAGAGTTAGTATTAACTTTAGTAACACTTCTGTGGTTCATATGGTTTTACTTCCTGACTTCAAAGAAATCTTTTTTTAATTAGAAGCAAGTAAGTTACACAACAATATAAATGTTTCTGCATGACAGCAAGTAATTAAAAAGGTGAATAATAAGCAAAAAAAAAAAAGCCTTTACTGGTATTTAATGAGGGTCATGTTGCAAAAATGGTTTTAAAGTGGTGTTTGTCTATTCTAATCCAGTGCAGAACTGGCAAGTTTGCTTTGCTGAAAAGGGTTTTTCATAAAGGAACATTAATGTGCTAATAAATTCCAGTGGTGTATAGTTATTTTCACAGTAACTTAATAGTGTACATCCTCAGAGTATCCAGTTTTATATATCTGTTTTTAGAAATGCTTCTTTTATTCCATCTTGCTTAAAAATGTGCCTATTTATAGCATCAGAAACATGTCTACATATTAATAAAAATAACACACAATCAAATGATACTTTAACATTGTGTTCTTTCCTTTGAGGAGGTTGAAATGTTGCACGCTGCTTTTCGGAAAGAACTGGAGAAAGCAAAATTGTGTGTTCAACAGCAAAGCCAAAGGCTTGATGCTTCCCAGAAACGGATAGCTGAACTGGAATCTCAGCTTGCTAAAAAGGACCACCTCTTCCTGGAGCAAAAGAAATACCTGGAAGATGTCAAAATCCAAGCAAGGTAGAGGTTTCTTATGTAAAATTTTAGCTGCACTCTGAGAGAGGCGCTATCATAGTTGAGGCAGAATCTGGAGATGCTGGACCTAATGGTTTCTGGTTTCTTCTTCTGTTCAGAGGTCAGCTGCAAGCAGTAGAAAGTAGATACAAGGCCCAGAAAAGAATCACACAGGCATTTGAGCTGGAGATTTTGGATCTCTTTGGTCGACTGGAGAAGAGCAGCCTACTGAAAAAACTTGAAGATGATAAAACAGAAGCAGCTGAAGCAGCAGAAGAAAGGTAAGAGCGATGATGTAAAACCATGCTGGAGCCATGACCAGCTCTGTTAAAGCTGGTATCCTTGTGGAATTCCTAGTACTTGGAGCATCATCTCAAAATATTTCTGTTACTCCACCTTTTACTGGCTGGATCTATTTCAGGACTCTGCCCAGGTTACTGAGAGTCATTCACAAAACTAGAAGTGCTCATGAAGTACTTTTCAGGTAGCTGAACCAATACTCCAGGTGTAAGAGAAACCTCTGGTTTGGTTTATAGACCAATCTCTTTGATCTACAAAAAATCCTACTTATGTCTACCTGTAGTATCTAGGTAGGGTGGCACTTCCTTTCAGATCATACCTTTTTTTTTTCTACACCAAGTTCTGCTACAGCATCAGGATAATTTCTTCCAGTGCCAGCAGATTCATGGCAGTAACCTGTGCTTGGGTTGGGTAAAAGAGAGATCTGCAGTCCAAGGCAGACGTGCAGATCTTAACAGATGCCTTAACAGACCAGGATCCAGGCCCATTCTGCTTTGGGATTATTGTCAGCTTTGGACTTAAAACTAGACGTTGCAAAGCTGAGTGTGTGACACTTTTCAGGGTACCCTCTGTCACTTCTGCTTGGCTAGGAAACCGTGAAAGGAGAACTGGTGAAGTACTTATGCAGTAGCAGGAATGGAAAGTAATCAAAGTACCCTGCCTTGGTCAGCATTTCCCCTTCCAGCACCAACAGTTGCTGCCGTTTCCTTGACGCTGTGTTGTCTCTCTTTCCAAAACAGGCTGGACTGTGGTAATGAAGATACTGTGGTGGGAAACAGTGAAGAAACAATTGGTAGAAATGGAGAGACCAAACCTCCCAGCACTCGAGGTAGTAGTAGCAGTAAGGGTGGCAGCAGCAGTGAGCTCTCCACTCCAGAAAAACCCCAGAACCAGAGATTCAGCAGTCGCTGGGAGACATCCATGTTGCTGGAGCCCTCGACTACTGTCCCACTGACTGTAGGTTCACTCCCCAGCTCCAAGAGCTTCCTTGGAATGAAGGCACGAGAATTATTTCGCAACAAGAGTGAGAGCCAGTGTGATGAGGAGGGTGTAACCATCAACAGGCTTTCTGATGCTCTAAAGACTGATCTATGTAAAGATCCAAGCGTGGAGACGAAGGCCCTTCCCAGCCCCGATAACCTCAACCTCTCACCTAAGATCCAGGAAAGCAGTGTTGGACAGCTTCATATCATGGACTACAATGAAACTCATCATGACCACAGTTAAAGAAGAAGATAGTCAATCAGTGTTATTTTCATATTCTTGGCATAGAACAGGAGGCGTGAATGCAAGTTTAACTAAAAGCTTTTCTGTTTCTTTGGTCTGAGCAGCTAGCTCATGCAGCGGAGTAGGAGCGATGTCCAGGGACAGAAGAAGGCTGCTGAAAGAATGAATTTTTGGGTCTGGAATTGAAACGCCCAGCCTAACTCTTGCTTCTTTCTCAAATTCAGTCCTTAGCAGCGTGTACTAATTTGAAGGGACAATTGTTAGCATTTGCAAGTATTTTTTTCCCTTTCTCCCCATCCCCAGTTGAGTGGCTGCGTTTATGAACTTGAGTGCAATATGAGGCCAAATTAACATTTGTGAGTCTACTCTGAATGCTTTGTATTTCCTTGCAAGCTTCCAATTTACAGCAGTTAATTGTGCTGCCTGTCCGGGTGACTTCGGTTGCTTTCATCCTGGAAAGAAGCTGCACTAGAATTCCTAGTGCATTCATCTAAAGGTCTCTCTTTTGCCTGTCCACTGTCCCACACCCCTCAGAGCCCAGTCTTCATTAAGTTGGACTCTGATTGAATACTGAAATGTTTAAAGAACAGCGTACCTCTGCAAAACGATTCATTCACCCTAATTCATGATCATTGTTTATATTGTCCTTAACATTTCCTGGAAAGTTACATTTGAACAGACAATAAGGAACTGGAGCTTGTAATGCAGAAGAGACCGTATATGCTGAAGACTTGTTAAAACACTAGCTTCTGATCTTTTTGGTATTTTAAGTGTTTGCCTGACAGACTGGTACTGACCTCAGCCTGGTTCGTGTGGGAAAGCAATTGGGGAGGGAGAAGAGGGCAAAGGAAGCTTTACTCGAGTAGGGCGAGCATGCAGAACGTGTGTGTAGAATCTCAAGCTTATGGAGATGTGCAGAAGAGCACTGGGGAAATCCGTGTGCTGCCTGACCCTAGTTCTGGTCTTTGTTCCCAGTCTGAGCGAGACCACTGTGTTTTGAGTCCAAGAAATTGGCTTCATTCTTTCTTCCTGGGAATACGTTTTCAGGCTTGGCTTAGAGAATATGGTTTCCTTCGGGTGCTGTTTGGTGCAGCCTGCAGCTCATTTGTCAGCTCAGCAGTGTCAGTTTGGCTCTAGGTATCTCCCCTTTGCCCTCATCCCCTTTCCCTAGAAGACCCAGCTGAGGAGGAACCCTGCTCAAACTGAAAATCAGAGCTCTGTTGGGAAGCCTTTCCACATGAATCATGTTTCAAGTCAATAATGAGCCTTCTGTGAAGGAGGATTGTGGGATCAGGGCGTGTCAGTGGCCAGACTCAATCTCCTCTGTGACAGAGCAGAGCTGGCTGTTGGGAAGGCAGTGGCTTGATTTAGATGTTAGATACGTCAGGGGCCGGGTGTACTGGGACACGCCAGGCCCCACAGTTACCCTGTGCCACGTGTGGCCTCTTCTCTTAAACATTCTGTGGGTGGCAGCTGCTGTGTAAGAATCATCTCACATCTAAATCAAGCCCAAGTGCACTTGCACTTGCTGTTCAGATCCCTTCTTAACCTGAACAGGATCAGGACTGTGTCAGAGCCCCCGGCACTACGCTGACTTGCCCCTGGCAGTGATTCTCCTCCCTTTTCCGCTTCTTCCAGCAACACCCAGGGTCTGAATACATTTCTGCCTGTCCAGATTCTTCTCGGCGTCCTTTCGGTGGGTCAGTCCTAACTCTGAAAGTCAAGGTGAACTTCAGTGGTTTTGTCAAAGCTTGAATCTGCATGGAGTAGAAAATAGAGAGTCGGTTGTAAGTGACAGACTGGTTTTGTCGACATGTCTGTAGGCGTCCTAAGACTTAGTGGTAGCAAACGTGGTAGCGTGATGTTTTGGTGAGATTTGGAGGTTTCCTGCCCCGAGGGGTCCCTGCCCCAGGAGTGAACGGTTTGCACATTGCCCCTGAGGGGCTGGCTGAGCCCCGGGGTGTGCTGGAGCAGCTCATTCGCCCAGAGGAGCATCCTGCTGATACACTTGTTCTGAGGAGAGGGGGTTTTGTTGGTGCAGAAACACCCCGGCAGTAATGCAAGCTCATCAATAAGGTGACTTTTTTTTTTTTTCCTTCTTCTTTTAAAAAAGGATTTTAGCACCGGGATAGTAACGGAAACCACTTTAGGTTTGTTTATGGACCACAAAGATTATAGAGGAACAAATTTTGCAACTTTTTTTGTAAGTCTAAAAAAATCATGGATCTGCTGTATGTAGTTAACTTGCAGTTCGTTTGAAGGGGTCCCATCAGTGAAGTGGAAACAGATATATTTTTTTTTTTAAAAAACTGACTGCTTTTAGTTAAATCTAAAATTGCTGTCTTTGTCAAGTTAATCTGTTCCCTGCCTCGCTCTTTGTAAGCATGTTAAACAATCCACATTAAATGCCATAAATATGAATTACGAGGAAATGGTACAATCGTAAGCTAAAGAGAACTTAAACCAAAAGGAGGTTTTGCTGTCCTTATTAGAATGTTCTAAAATGTCAAGGCAGTTGCTTGTGTTTAACTGTGAACAAATAAAACGAATTGTTTTGCACTAGTCTGTGTTAAATTCCCTGCAAGATGGACACTTTGGGACTGAGCTGGGCTGGGCTGACACATGCAGAATAAAGCTCAGCAGCAAAAACATCTTCCCAGATCTGCCTGGCGTGAGCAGATCCATGGCTCTGCCCCTCTTTGCGTGGGGCTCGTTGTTAGAAGCTCATTCTTCCACATGGAGCCGAGGCCGTTTTATTTCTGTGAAAAACAGACTCGATGACAACTCGCTGCTCTGTCCATAGACGAGCTGCAAACTGCACGTCTGCCTGCTGGCCTGGGGCACAGCCCTGCTCCTGTGGGCTGGAGGCTCTGCAGCAATTAGCCAAATTACCAGCTGGAAATGGCAGGATGTTATTTGCAGGGCTGGGGCTGCTGTCAAAAGCCAGCCATAAAACTTTGTAAAAGTAACTTTTTTTTAAAAAAAAAAAAAAAAGATTTAAAAAATTACAACTTATTTTAAGTAAAACTTTACTGTAGGCTTAACTTTGTAGATTAAGGTTGTTCTCTTGGTTTTTTTTTCTCTGTTTTTTCCAGACAGGCACTTTCTGAGTTTGGTTTTGGAACCCAGGCAAAAAAATTTGTAAAAGAAACTTTTTTTTAAAAAAAAAAAAAAAAGATTTAAAAAATTACTTATTTTAAGTAAAACTTTGAGGCCGTTTTACTGTAGGCTTAACTTTGTACATTAAGGTTGTTCTCTTGGGTTTTTTTCCTGTTTTTTCCAGACAGGCACTTTCTGAGTTTGGTTTTGGGTTTGGTTTTGGTTTGTTTGCTTGGGTTTCCTCCTGAAATAAATGAACACTTGAAAGGTTGCTCAAAGCAATTCAGAAGCTCAGCATTCCAGTTAAAGGCTGAGTAAAGTTCTTAAATTTGAAGAACACGTGCAAGGGGAAGGCAAGTGACACTCAGTCTGAGAAGGCAGTTTGCCTGAGTAATGGTGTTTGTGGAGAATTTTATTGACAAACATTGTCGTGGGGGTAGGTGATAAAGTTGTTTGGGGGCCTTCTGCCCTGGGGTGAGTCCTACAGCCTGGTGCAAATGGAACTAAACAGCACAAAGTGACTTTGACTTGCTCTTAACTTATTTTAAGTTCATTTTTCATATCCCATAACAAACTTAGCATTGAAAAGCTGCTCTTCCACAAGTAAAAAGAAAAGTTGTTTGGGGGCCTTCTGCCCTGGGGTGAGTCCTACAGCCTGGTGCAAATGGAACTAAACAGCACAAAGTGACTTTGACTTGCTCTTAACTTATTTTAAGTTCATTTTTCATATCCCATAACAAACTTAGCATTGAAAAGCTGCTCTTCCACAAGTAAAAAGATTAGATCTGTGTTACCCACAGAAATACTTGATTTTTCTATTTTTGTATCTTCCTTGTTTGGTAGCTTATAACCCAGCTAATAAGCATGAAGTAGACAATAGGCAAGGAAATAATTTCCTGAATTTTGAGTAGCTTTGGTGATTGATCTTGATTTATTGGAACTACTTTGCTGCTGGTGCAATGGTGGGTTTTAAAATCAGGTGGTTACAAAGTGAGTTAGAAAGAGGAACTGAGTTACTCTCATCATACATTCATCGAGGTGGGAGCTTTGCTTTTCAGACAAAACAATTCTGACTGATGCTCTCCATGCTCTGGGTGTCTGAGCTTTGCTCGGCTGAACCTTTTGTCCTTGAAGTCCCCTTCGCTCCAAGTGCACCCCTAGTTCTGACATCCTGGTGATGTCCAACGTCTGCCAGCCCCGGCTCCTGGTTTCCTCGGAGGGCTGGGCTGGCTCTGGGCTAAAATCTCAGCCGAAACCCTGGTGTGAGACCGCCGAGCGAGTTCAGAGCTCCTGGGGCACGAAGCAGCCTTGGGGTGGTGGCGAGGGACAACCGATCCCAGCCCGCTGAGAGCAGCGGCGCCGGTGACCACGTCGGGGCGCGGGGAAGCCCCCGGGGCTCCTGCCTGCCTCTGCCTGGGGGTCTGATCCGTCTCAGCGACCCCGAAGGGCCCTTCAGAGTGGGCAAAATCTCGCTGTCGGGAGCCTGTGCCCGCTGGCGGTTGGTGGGGCGGAACGGGGGAGTCACCGCTCGCCCCGCGGTGCTTCCCGAAGGCGGCCGCTAGAGGCCCCGCGAAGCTCGCCACTCGCTCCGCAGCGGCTCGAATGACATTTTGGGGGTGCTGAGATTCCCCTCTTCCCTTCAATCGTTCCCTTGGAGCCCAGCACCGCCCCTGGCACCGGGGGCCGAGCTGTTCCCCAGCCTCTCGGCGTGCCAGACCCTGGAACCACCGACGGTTAGGGGAGGTTTTGACCCGATTACCTGATTTTTAACCAACGCCTGGTTTGACCCTGAGCTGAATCAAGGGCAGCACAGGGGTAATTCATAGCCTACAGGTCCCAGGTTCCTGTTGAGCTCATCTCCTGCCAGCCCATAGCTCTACTCCAGGCTTTGAATGAAAAAAGAGCATTTCTTTCCTGGACTGACTGACAGATCTCCAGGTAAGTCCCTTGGGTGCCTTGCCTGCTTTCTCAGTGTGTATCTTGCAATTTTATCCCCACGGGGGCTAAAGTAAAACTTTATTGCACTTCTGTGTTTGGCATTTACATCCTGTTTATGTAAATTCTTCAAACAGCTTGATTTGTAGTAGAGAAAAACAATTCTTGCTGTATCTTTTTGTCTTTTGAAGTGTCCATCCAGTCTGGAAGAGGAGAACTTGTATGGAAATTAAGTAATTTGTCTAGATGTTTTTGGGAGACTTAACTTTGCAGTCTTCCAACAGATTCTGGTCATTACCAAACCTCAGACTGCAAGTTTTATGCACTCATTTTTCTGCTGGTGTCTTAAATTTTTGACTGCCAAAGACTGATGGAAAGATAGGGCTAGGCTAGAAACTATTATTAAGGTTTGGGAACTGGGTTTCTTGTGTGTCACAACATTGGTCAAGTACAACTGGCCAGCTGCATTGGCATTGTGAAGGGCAGGCGTGGGGAGGTGGTGGACAGGGTTTGATGAGACACTTCTGACAAGCAATTTGTGCTGTGCTGTTTTGTGGAGGATATTTTTAGTCTCAGCAGAGCCTGCGTGTTTAAATTTAAACTATTCGGCGGGGCGAGGAAGGTTGGAAACAAGATCTGGGAATAGTGTCCCTCGTGTCCTCAACACTTGCCATCTTTTAGCCCACATAGTGTGTACTTGTTCTGTAAAACTTTCCAGGACAGCAGCTGTCACTGGACACTTGTCTTTGCAGCATGGAACACAACAGGGCAGCTGTGAGCAACTTTGCTCTTTCTGCTCGAAGCTGCAGCAGGGCTCTCGAGCAGAGCAGAGAGGGTGATGGTCACATTCTGCTGGCTGTGGCCCCAGTAGTGCCTCAGAGTCTCTGTGTGACCCTGGCAAGATTTGTCACCGTTTTGAGTTCACCAGGGTTCAATTCAGTTGGATTATGATGTCTCCTAAAAATAGGCTTCTACTCCAGTGTGGATAGACATATTGCATTGCTGTACAGGTGGATAGGGGAAGGGAAGAGAGTGTAAAAGGAGGTGGAATTATGAGAGAAATACAAACGCTCCTGAAAATATTTCCCATTTCACCTGATCTATCCTTCTTGTCATCCCTCCTCTGCATTAATTCTCCTTTCTTTTTTTGGCTGCTTGTTGCCAAAATCTGGTCATCTTAAGGCAAAAGCTTTCTCACAGTTCTATCAAGCTGAGCCAGGTATGCAAGGGGAGCTTGTTTATTCAGGAGTGTCTTCCAGCAGGAAGCAAAAAACAGGAGCTAATTTGCCTGTGGGAGGGGAAAAGAGCAGTCAGACACAGGGAAGACACTGCATTATTGAGATCTTAAATCTGTAGTTAACAGTGCTCGTGTAAAAGCACCACCAAAAATGCATATGGGCTTCAAAGAATGGGGAGAGCCTGAGACCCTGCTGACCCTCCCGAGGCAGGCTGGAAAGTAAAACTGTTCCCAGCACTGGTATAAAGTCACTGGGCTGGAATTGTGAAGTGCTGTTACCAAAGCAGCATGAGGCTGTTTCATAATGCAGTTTTAATGAAGGAAGCCTCATAACATCCTTGAAAGCTAGGTAAACTAGATTCTCCTCTCAGACAAGGGAAAGTACAGACATCTTAACTTGCAGTTGGAAAAGGAATGGTCTGAAAATGGCCAGAGCTTCCCCAATGCCTCTGCTCCCACTAGAGTCCTGTGAATTACGTTGACTGAAATGACTGTTGGCTTTGCAGAGCTCAAGGGAGGACAGGGGTGTTTTATTCGAGTTTGGATATCGTCAGTACACCAAACTAAGTGCAAAATGAACTTTGTTCTCCTTTACATCTCTAGCTCTGACAGCAAAGGAGTCTGGGGGGTCTGGGGAAGATGTCCTGAGTGGTGTGTACGGGCAGTGGTGTGAGAACCTGCAAGAAGGATGCAGCAGAGCACAGCTTCAGACATGCAGGTTCTTCCCTCTGGCATTGGTGAGTGACTGGGTGTTCCTCAGAAGTCTTGGAAAGTGTAAAATCCCATTTCAAGTAGCTTGCCCAGGATTTATATCCGAGTGATTAGAACCTGATTGCTCCTGACTGTTCTCTGCTCTCACAGCACTGCTGGTCAAAGGGACCAGCTGTAGTGCTACAGCTACTTCTGTTGGGACAGGACTTGAAGGAGAAGAGTAGAAACATCACTGAGGGAGAGAGTATCCAATGTTGGCTTACAGGGCTAACTCTTCAGAAAAAGGACTCAGATAGGAAGGATTTCTAGTATTCATTTCACTGTCTTTAATCAGCCAAGTGATTAAGGGTGGCAAGCAAGATACACAACCTTTGCTCCTTTAAAAGGCATGTCGACCCGGTGGTTTCCAGGGCCTTTTAAGTTTCCCACTGAGATTTTCTGTGTCATTTAGGTGCTTCTTTTGGACACATGTACTCCCCTGTACTTGTACATTATCTCTGTTTCTAGCTGAGGTCTCAGCTTCAAGCTGCCCAGAAGGTGGTGTTTGGGAAATGGCTGCCCTAGCTGGGGCATACTGAGGTGCCCTCTTCTCAGAGAGATCACTTCCACCACTCACATTACACAGCCTGTGCCGTGGCAGCTTCTCAACGTGGGCTACCCACTCCTTCATGCAGTCCAGAACGACAGGAATGAGGCTCACCACACCTCCATAATGATTCCTTGCTTCATGGCAGCTCAGGTGATTCACAACGTCATGGGGGTATCTGTGGGACAGAAGGAAACAAGTGGCAGAGCAGTGCCAGCAAGGCAACCCTGGCGAGCCCACAGTGCCACCCTGCAGGGCAAGTGTCTGCACATGCAGGGCAGGAACAGGAGGAAGGGGGAGGCAAACTGCCTGAGCATCACGTGGGACCTCGGGGTCCTAACCTGCTCGTATGTGCCCTCCCATGCACCAGGGGAAAGAATGAATAAACACACAACCCCCCTTTTTTTGTGAACAGAGGCTGGCAGTGTTTTCCCAACTGCTGGAATAGGAAACTGGGTAGCACTTTGCACCCTCACTAAAGCCAGAAAGGTACTGTAAGCAGTATTGATGGAGAAATCAAGTGAGAATATGCATTCTTGTGACACTCCCCCAGCTCTGGCCATTGCCTCAAAGGAATGAAGCTGATGGAGACACCTACTTGGCTCGGATGCTGCTCAGATCGTTGCTGTCGCTAAGGAGCAGCTTGCATTGCTCCAAAATTCCATCAGTTAGGCTGCTACCAGAATACAGCATTTCCAGCGTGTGGCAGAGCTTGCTCAGGTCATGGCAGATGTTTAGGAACATGTTGAGGACACGCCTGTCTGTGGAATTGTTACAGTGATGGTCCATGTAGGACCGCACCTGTACGGGGGGAGACAAGAGCCATGCATGTTAGGTTCCATTCACCTTGGGCTGCAGAGCTGCTTAGGTTGGGTGTGGAGTTTTCTGACTGCTCAGAGCAGGGCACCCTCTGCCACTGCTGCCTGGGCAGAGCTGGGTGGGAAGTGAGGGCAGTGACCAAGCTGAGACTGCTTTGGAGTGGTGTGTTTGCATCATGCATCTCTGTGGTTCCTCATTTGGCACCACTAGATGTGACTGCAGACTAAACCCATTTAACCTAAATCATCCTTACTACCCTGTTCTAGCACTGATGTTCCCTGTCTGCCTGGAGCACTTTTGTTACTCCAAGCCAGCAGTACTGTGTGACCAGACGTGATGCCAAGAGATTAGGGATCTCCTCCACAGAAATTACAGGCACTTGAGACACGAGTGGCCAGAATATAAAATACTGAGCAGCTGGCTGGCAGTCGTAGCTGGACTCTAACACCTTCAGTGCTTTCTGTAAGATTTCAAGACAGGAACAAAGTAGCTGTTTCAACATGGTACAGTTTCTGCATACAGAAAAGCCATGCTGCATGCCTGGGCAAATTCTCAGCAGGTTTGTGGGGAATATTAAAAAACTGCCCCTCAGGGTCCATTTCCACCACAGATTCCTCCTTCCACAGGACTTCATGGGCAGCCCCATTGCTGGGCTGATGCCATGGCCAGAGGCAGGCTCTGCAGAGCAGGGACTCACTGGGGGATTTGAACCTCTGTCTGGAGCAATGACCGAGGAGCTTGTCTCACAAAACCACTTGGGCTTTGGCTTTATATTTCTCCATGTAAAGTCTTTAAGGAGCTATTGCCACTGCCTGACTGTGGTGTGCTCTTTGACCTTCCCACCCTTTCTTTTCTCTGACAAATATCATCACTCAACTCAAAATACTACCACATACAGCTTTTAGGGGTTAGAAATACAGCCATGCTCAAGTGCCACATCATTTGTCCTGTAGTGTTTGTCTGCACGTGAAGAAAGCTGGCAGTGGAGTCAGCTGTAGGCTGAGACCACCTGTATTCTGCAGTTGTTGCTTTTATTCTTGTGCCCTCCCATGCAAAGTTAGAAACAGGGTCGGGCTGATCCAGGAGAATGGTAGTGAAATAAAATGGATGCCTGGTTTTGTCCCCAGTGAACTTTCTTTAGTAGTGGTTCAGTTCCTGCACAATGCAGCCCCAGTACCTGCTGCACCAATTGCTCCCTCTTCTCCCCCTTCCATCCTCCCCCTGGGTTAACGTGGCTGTGCCCTCGGGGCTGTCTGTGGAGTCCAGCTGGACACCACTAAGCTCACGTTACTGCATCACAAAAGCTGCCATGGATCAATTGCTGATGTCATTACCTCCAAGGTTTCACCCCCACAAGCAGCAAGCCTCCCCCACCCCTGCCTAGAAGCAGAGTCCAAGCTTGCTCTGTACTCACATCCCCTCTGATGTTATGAGCAAACCACTTTCATGAGAGTCACCCCTTAGAAAAGACAACCAGCTCCCTTCTGCATCCTAATCCTAATAACAGCTTGGTTTTCACTCTGGCTTTGGCGACCATCTGGGTTTTCTGCCTGGGTTCTGCTCTCTCAAATCCACAATTCTAATTCTATTTAGATTTTTGTGTGTGTGTGTGGTCTGAGTTCTTCACACTACTTGAAACATCCCATGCTATAAAAATTCCGAGACAATTCACTTACCAGCCCAGAAAACCCCTAATCCATTGGGGATTTTCAGCCCTCAATCCATCATCCTACCTCTGTAACACAGCCATTATTTTTAATAAGCACTATAGAAAGACACAGCAGCACCAATACCAGGGGGAAGAGGCAAGCATGCTGGTTACTACAAGTTAAGGATTACAGATTCCATGTGTGGTTGGGGAAGGAGGGTTGGGTGGATTTTTTTTCTTGTACCCTGTATTTCTGGCTATGCCTCCACTGTGAAACAACAGCATTAAACTAAATCATAAAGTGACACTCAGCAATAGCATCCCTTCTCTGCAAATGGGAAGACCTAGCACAGGTATTTCCCTCCCCTGCTTAATCTTTTGCCACTAGTTTGCAGAGTGATACACAAATGTTACTAGAGAGGTTTTGTGCATCTTCCCTTAGTAAAAACATTTATTCATCCCTGAACTGGACCCAAGTGCACGACAGCACTGTGCCAGTCCCTGTTCTCATCAGCAGGGAACTCTGTGCTGGGCTCTCTGTACCTGGCTGATGCTTGCCACGGGTCTGATCAAGTCGTGTGCATTCTCTCGGGTGTGTTGCAGAGCTCCAATAAATGTAAACTGCTGCTGCACAAAGAGCTTGTACTTCTGCTCTATGTGTCTCAGAGACTCCTTCACCTCATTCATGATTGTCCCCATCCTGGATTTTGGGAGAGGAGAGAATGGAAAGTATCTTTTTAGAAATTATGCAATTCTCTATACGTAACTCTGTCTTTCACCTGAGTTGGAATTGTGTGGGTTAGTGGAAAACTTTTTTTAAAAAAAAAAAGGAAGAAAGAAAAAAAAAAAAAAAGAGAAGATATATTGTGTCAAAGCTCTGCAGTCCCAGAGCCCCAAAGAGTAAGTCAATGAGGTAGTAATGATGCTGCAAAAAGAGGTAG